TTCTTTTGCAGTACTCCTGCACTGTAGCTCTGTGTCCCTGACTACACCGTGGTTTACACTGCCCATCAACTGCAATCTTAAGTAACTTTAGTTCCGGCACTCTTTGGCCATTAAAATAACCAACTCCAATGAAACCCCGTGTAGCTACGTTCTGCTACATCCATGCTAGCACCACCTAGCTACCACCAGTTTACTCTAAATCTAGCTATTTCTAGCAACCTCTAGCTCTCGATGCTATCTCCAACTTTATCCCGACCCTGGCAATATGATATGAGGATTATTTGAGGTATCTGGATTCTGGCATAGCAAACGAAGCGGCATGCGCATTCACAATACAAAAAAGCCACAGTGCAGTGGATGATGAAAGGTAGATTTACACTCGCTTCCTAGTTCCTATACCCCACCCCCCCCCCCCCCCCCCTATAATACCGGGCCTCTTGCGAGAGTGACAAAAAGTGCACAGTTAAAAGAAACCCCTGTGAGAAATCGCATTTCTTGCACAACTGTGTCTAATTATAGAGGTAAATAAGAGGTCCGGTACATTCAGATACCCGGTATAGATTGGCAAGATTGACGGTACAGAGGTTTTGATCATTGAAATCAATAAAATGATAGTACAGCAGGTAAAATCGGTTCGATCTTAAATGGTCCTTTTGTGCTGTTTCTTTATGTGGAATTTGATAAAGCTGTATTGTAATTAGTTATGAAACTCTAATATTGTGTGGTTAACCTTTTTCAGGTTCAGCCCTTTCCGCTAAGCTATTCCTAATTAATAAAATATGTCGAGATTTACTGAACTCCAACTTCAAATATTGATGATTTTAGTATTCCCCAATCTAAAAATCTTCGAAGTTTTTCTGCAAAGCATTTTTATCCACGTTTCATGCAATTCGATCACTTTTGGCGGAATAATATATTTTCAAATTTTCAACCTTTTTCTAAGTCTCGAAAAAAATTTTAAGTGAAACATTTTTGAAGTTTTTCTAAAAACTACATTTCTCCGTGTTTCAAACGATTTCAATCATTTTGAGCCAATCAAAAATTTTCACTTTTTTTGGTGATTAACTAATTGGTAATTATCCAATTAGCTGATTGTCCAATGTAACAATTTTTCATACAAAAGTTTTACTCCTTGATAAGATAAACATTCTAGGTTAATTTGCAGCCTTCTACGACGTTCACAACTAAAGATATTTGGCAAACCAGAAAAGTGGTACAAAGGTGGTAAAAAGTGGTAAAAGTGGTGTTTCTGTTGAGATAAAAATTGGCAACAAGTCTAATTATGTTCGTAGGGGTCCTAACTACCATATTCCGTTGAGAAATCCTTGTGAACATTCAAATCCAACGGAACCCTTAAATCGACCACTTTTCCCCTTACTACTAACACTGGTCAGTGGCGTAATGTTGCCTGTTGGCGCAACCAACTGCCTTTCCACCAGTTACATTTTTACATTATTCATGCAGCTGGCTTTAAATGTATAGGATATTTGGCTCAAAGCTGTCGCAAGTCCTATAAATTATAAACTTAAAACGCCAATATATATATATATATAAGTCACACCTGCCCACCATATAATATATATAAGTCACACCTGCCCAAGCTAGAGAGCCATGTCAGGGCCAGCAAGCAAGGTCCGGACCAAAACAAACTGAGCCGACTGGGTATAGAAAATATTGAAATATGGAAACAATAGTAACAATAATAGAAGAATATTAAAAATATATTGTAAACTTAAAAGATCAATATTGATTTCACCTGTTACACAGACAGGTCATGCACAGACTCAGGTAGCGGGGCTGGTTATATTATCACCACTGACAACAACAACACTACCCTAGAGGAAAGATCATTCAAGCTTCCCGATTATTGCACTGTTTATCAAACAGAACTCACTGCCATCATCGAAGCTTGTAAATATCTGTCAACTTATACCAACACACACATCATCATATGGTCAGACAGTCTCTCCTCTATTCAAGCTGTATCCTCATCCTCAACGAGGAGTAGAACTACTAGAGACTGTTACGACACCCTCAATACACTCGGATCCACTAACACCTTAGAGATCAGATGGATAGCTGCACACATCGGATTGTGGGGGTAATGAAAAAGCAGACGAGCTGGCCAAAATTGGCACAACCAGTGAATCCACTTTGAATTGCCCAATTCCACAATCTTACATCAAACGCCTGATCGACGACAAAGTCACCAAACTTAATCAAGAATCATGGATTACTGATGGTCCCAGACACACTAAACTGACACTCGGACACAAAAACATCAACATCATCAAAAATCTCAACACTACACTCAGTAACAACAGACAAAATTACAGAACTGCAGTGCACCTCATCACGGGACATTGTGGCCTTAACAAACACCTACATAAAATTCGTAAATCAGACACAAGTGCTTGTCCTAAATGCGGCGACGAAGAGGAGACTGTCTCACACTTTCTCGGACAGTGCCCGGCTATTGCCCAAATAAGAGGTCAACATTTCCGGGACTACTACCTCTCTGTCAATGACATATTCGACAACCAACACATCTCCACCATCCTCAACTTTGCAAACCACACTAAACACTTAATGGTGCCAGAGGAGTTGGACCAGACCGGTGTAACATAGCGACTACTCAAACGTCGTCTTAGTTCGCCTCTCTCTTCCACACTCAACCACCGCTTAAGCATTCATCTATGACACACCCCACAACACTTACCATCATCCTTGATTACACATCTTGATTCCACCGGCATCCTCCCACAGGACTGCCATACCCCAGAGGTAGGCAAAGCATCCATGTGCTATCCTCTCGTGGGCCAACCAGGCCCAGCCTCTCTTTTTTTAAATTTTTAAATCAATATTGATTAGTTAATGTTATGTATGTATTGATATATTAAGACGCAATGAAACTACCAGACTACGATGTATGGGGACTTGCCACCCCATGGCAAAATTAACATATATCGACTCTGTTACATCGTTTCCTTAAATTATTTGTTATATAGTAGTGTTGAAAATATTAAAACGTTGTATATGCGGTGTGCATAAGTTATGGGATGGGGCTAATTATTCGGTTATAATTAATAAAATATTTAATATAGTTTTGTCTTGCGTTGGTTCATCTGTAATGGCCGTTTTATATGCAGTTTCGAACTATAACTTGTCCACAATTTGTTGAATTTGGTTGATAGGTAAGGTTTGGGTGCTGGGATGAAGTTTTACATATCTGCTCTGATCAATTTACTATTTTTAAAAGAATAGTAAATAAAAGGCTGAAAGCAATACGACCGTAATTCCCCACAGAAGACTCGATGAATGATTCATTGAGAAACGGTCTCGAAACATTATTTTTCCAATGCAGGGGGGGGGGGGGGGGGGGGGGGGGCAACCATATTAAAGTATATTAAAATGTAGGATTTTTCCCGATTTTGACCCGGGGATATACTTTAATATACTTTAATATACTTTAATATACTTTAATATACTTTAATATACTTTAATATATCCCTATCTCCTTGGGCTGTAAACTAGTGCTATTAACTATTAAACTATGAGTTATATGTGAGAATGATCCTGAAACTCTGAAGATATATTATAGTCTAGTTGGGTTTTCCATATAGCACTGTAGTGTACTCAATCTTGTATTATTCTTATGTGTTTATCGTGTACACAGTACAGACAGTTCCAATTATGCAGAAGAGTTGTTTATTGTTCCCAATTCCGATTACAATTATGACAAATTCAAAATAGAGGATTGTATGCGCTAAATTTGTACATCGAAAATTTAAACAGTGCATCACCCGAGTAGCTCAGCGGCTAGGCTATTGACTAGCTCTGCACGAGGTCGGGGAGTTCATCCTGCTTGAACGCCAAGTAAACTTTAGCCCGAGGCCACAAATGTTTCATGATAAATTAGGAAGTAAACCTTTGTTACCTAGCGAGCCAGTGGCAGTAGGTTGAGCAAATAATTCCGATAGTAGCAAAAACTTAAGTAGTCCCAGTGTCAGGATTGAGGGACATAATGAAGAATTAATCTGAAAATACACGACTATTTGGAACATTGAATCCGGAAAAGCACTTGCAGTTACAAAAAAGCTAGCTTTGACATCTACTTTGTAGATAACGACGCAAGAGTACTCAAAAAATCTGAAATGGCCTGCTAGGTAACTCGAGCAGCGGTAATTTGCCGTTGAATTTTAGCAAGCCAAGCTAGTTCAATAGTAGATGTGTATTAAAGAACAATGATAGTACTTACTTGTACTTGATTAGGTCTCCTCAATCATTCGAGTGGCCTGGCACCAATGAACTCCCGTTTGTGACGTTCATCTCCCTCCAAAGTTTTTCGGTCAATAGCATCCGTCGCTCTTCTAGGTCTATGTCAGTGTTTCCTGTAAACGATGCAGCATCTCCAGCAAACATTTACACAGTTCTTTCTTGACGGCCCCTAGATCTTCCCCATGGGAGGGGCGTTAAGCAGGTACTTAGGAAGCTAGGGGTCTGGCATTCTGGAGATGAAAATCAAATGACAGATGACAGATGACAATTGTAATCAAGCTGGCATTAAATCCATGCAAAAAGGAAAAGAAGCGTATGACTTTATGACATGACAAATCAAATGACAGGTGATCAGCAATTAGCACTGACCTGTTTTCCCACACCGAATAAATTTAACTCCTTGAACAATTAGAGTTCTTTTGGACACCAGACTATTCGGAAATCGGACCTGAAAGAGTTTTAACCTTACAAATTGAACAAAAAATTAACAAAGGATTGAAAGCTTAACTCAACCTTTCGGGAACAGAAGCAACACTCATAGATGTTCGTGGAGTATCAGAAAATCACTAGTTAAAATTTGTATCGAATAAGAGAAGATATCGATTTGACAAGAAAAGATTTATCGCAGACACGCGCGGTTTATTTAGACGCTTATCCAATGCGAAATTCAAATATCGCTCTTTTCGTGAAATTGATGGCGAGTGAATTAGTAGCGCCGTGACCATAGCCTCAGTCTTTTTACCATTGATTCTAAGACCTCCCTGGGCACCATACATGCACAAAAGGTCCGTTGTTTCTTGAAGACCTTCCTCGCTGTTATCCAGTACAGCCATGTCATCTGCATAATCTGTATCTAACACAGTGATATCATCAACAAGCGGGCTGATAGATCTTTGAAGAACCGCTCCGTGGGACACCACTTTGTTGCTTTCTGTTCTCTCAGCAGCCACATTGAGGCAGACATTAAAAAGTGGGGGACCCTGAATGTCTCCTTGGCCACTGCCTGAACTTACTTCAAACCATTCTGATAGTTCACCATTGTGTCTAACAGCACTAACAGTTCCATTAAAGAATGCCTGTATTATTCGAATGTATTTACATGGCAGGCCATAATGACTGAATGCTTTCCAAATATAATTCCTGTCGATGGAATCAAAAGCCGCGCACGCACGCGCACGTATTATTTTATACTTTTTGCTTTCTAATAAATATCGTGTCAATGTGTATGGTGTACGTCTAAATGTTCATGTTTTGCGTGATCAACTGAATCCAATTGAGAGTGACAAGGATAAGGATATAAGGACCCAAGTGCCTGTACGGCTTTTTCAGACCCCTGTGGACCAATACTCTTTAAATTGCTCTACAACATTCAACATTCAACATTTATATCTATATCATATAGATTAACTGTTATATAATATACTACGTCATTTTACAATTATTATCATTATTCTAATAGTCTTGCTGAGGGGGAGAAGTAAACGCTTCACATTAAAATACTTACAGCATAAAAATCTAAAACCATCAACACGGCTAGTTTTAATATCATGGACAATTTGGTATAATAAAAATAAATTTGGTATAATTTACCCTGCCTTAGTCAGTTGAAAGTCTGATAGCATATGTTCCGTTTGATTTGACCAAACTAATGCCTTTCATTGCTTACCTGAGGACCCCAGGCTATTATGTTCATTAAGAATAAAGATTTGGCGGAATGACAGGCTGAGCGCGGCCCAGTAATTCATTGCTTTATAATGACCAGCACTGGCTATTGTAGATAATTTGAAAATAGCTGGTAGCATTGATTAAAATTCTCACCTCACTGATAAGCTGATTGGTGTAGGGAAGCTGATACCGGTCATATTCATTCTTCACGGAGCTCTTCTGATAATGAGTAACGCGAGTACGGTTGTTATGCTTGGGAAACTTCAGCTGATCTTCAATAGCTGCAACTAGAGCCCATTCCAAACAGCGATTATTATTCTCATTCTTGATGTTGACAAGAGCCATGGTCTTGTGTCTGATGGGTTTAGGCAACTCCATCCAGCTGCTACCTGCTGACGGATTATACCTGAAATATAAATCATTAAATTTCAGTTTTGCGAATGAAATATTGTTTCTGTCTGGTTCTAATATACCGTTACAATAATGACTTTAATATAACCATGAAAATTCAGTTAAGAAATATAATATAAATCATTAAATTTCAGTTTTGCGAATGAAATATAACCATGAAAATTCAGTTAAGAAATATATCTGTAAGAGAGTAAATAATATTTCTTACCGGGTTATGTTGATCGAGATGCAGATTATTTCGTGTACCACCCATCCTCTTCCTTCCTTGATGAGCTTATCTATCCGTTCACAATGTTGCTATGCTTCTGGAGAGCTGGAGTAATGGGATCTGTGAGAAGCAATGGTGTCATTTCGGTATCAAACGTTCTCACTGCGAAGTCTCCAGTGACCATCTTGCTGAGATTCATTTTCATTTCCAAACTGAGCTTTATACCAGTTCCTAAATTACTTTCAATGATATCTGTCAATCTAACAAATGATTTCTTCAAAGCTCCTTGAAAATCGGTACCGATTAGAAGGAGGAGATAATGAGAATTTACGAAATAAACCATCTATGGCCGTGATACTGGTTACCGTCTGGTTTCCCGAGGAACTCCCCTCAGCTGTCTCAAAAGCTGGTTCAAATTATAAGACGTGGTGTTGATGGGATCGAACACACTTGCGTTTCCTGCATCCATCAAAGCAAGCTCTAGTTGAGCATCAATACTACTCCTAAAGGTATGATCAACCATCTCCTGTTTAAACTGATGAACATACAAAGGACTGGAAACATAGCGGACATCTCAACCCACTCAGGCCACTCCCACAGGCCACGCCTAGCGGACATTTCGAGGCTTTCGCTGTCAAAAGTGCCTTAATGGGATAGTTATCCCGACAACGCCAAATAGCCTTGGAAATCTCTGCAAGGGCCTTATCAAAATCTAAACTTATAGGTCGTAAAAGGACCGTACAGATAGCAACGCTCAGACATAATGGGCAATAGAGAATCAAACTGACAATTATAGTCATCCTGATTGACTAGCCAGATAACCGGTCATATCTCCGTTATATCCCCATCTATCTAATGGATCCCATTAAACAACTATAAAACATAGCTGTCTGCTGTCACCCAAAAACCCAAGACCATATTATAGCACGGAAACTTTTCACACACCTAGACAACAGCACAACCCTTATGAGGAACAGTGCGATAGTATCACACAGCTAGGGTTACCACACCCGGAAAGCTCACTCTTCACCCAGCTACCTAGGGTTAACCCGGAAACCAATTAGACCATTTTTTACACACAATTTCTATGTCAGATTTTCAAACCACCCTATTTCCACGTGAAATCTAATGTGCACAAACTGTGCGATAGGAGACTTATACAGGTTAAACGTCACGAAACTGTCTACAATTTACCTCGTAAAAACAGCTAGGGCCAGGGGAAGAATTCTGTTAATCGCTACGTCATATCGTATCATTTGATTGTAATTATCTCAGAAACATATGTTTCAATTTTGAGATGAAACGGATATTAAATTTTAAGCTCTACATTTTAGGGCCTGTCGTGATATCATGGCACGTGACCTCAGGCTCATAATCACGTGACCTCAGACCCAATCAATTGGGTTCTGGCCTGGTCAGCCCCCTGTCACCCGATCTTGAGGTGACGTACGACACCTCGTTAACTCAATCAATGTCTGAAAGGCTGCAAATTTTCACATGCCAAATCCCTAAGATTCTTAAAGAGTTGTACGAGATGACGATACATAGAGGCCGCAGAATTATGAGGACTACCAGATCCTGGTGGAACCTAAGCGATCCATGATATCACGACAGGCCCTATCTACATTTGTATTAATTTTATTTTCTGGGATGACTAGTTTAAACACTGCTGAGTATAAGTTTTATCTTAATAGCGGTGTTATTAAATTTAAATTTAAATTTATTATTATTATTAAATTCAAGATCGCATAATAACAGTTCTGGCTTGTTCTGCTTTTTAATACATTCATGACTTGAGTTGAATTTTTGTTTCAGAACTAGCAGCCCCTTCCCCAGACTTGTACATCCTGAACTTCAATAACGATGCACAGTGGATAAAGTACAAGGTGGCAGCCGACGAATTAGAAGCAAAATACGGTAAATTTATTATTTATACGTTCATTTTAATCTTTAAATATCTTGAATTAAAAAATGGTAAATAATGAATTTATTTGTATACGTTTATTTTAATCTCTAATTATCTTGAAGCATGCTTTAATTGTATGTTGTAAAACCAAAACATAATTCTGTCGATACTCAGCTCACTTTAAAAATGGTTTATTCTGTCCGCAGAGGGTAACAAAGATAAGGGCGACGGATTTTTCGATTGGAGCTTAGATAACCTTGGAGAATGTTTCGAGTCACAATACCCCAAAAACAGTGATGAAAGTAAAGTGGGATGTTTCTATATTGGACTTAACAGGGTGGGTATTTTTGAACAATTTTTAGTTTTAAATACCTAAATAAAAAATATTCACAGCTATTTCTCTAGATTTGCTATTCGTGATCAATTAAAATGTTAATTCGAGTATTATGGTAAGTACGTAACATCAATTGGTTTAATTATTAACAATACCTTGACGGAGAGCTGCATCTACCAATAACCCATTTTTCTCACCAAACTATCCAATAATTCAGGTTTTCGATTGGGCTCCAGAAGAAGGCCAGACGTTGTCTTTCGATTGCAATTGGAGCGTGGGAAAAACTGGATCTGGAAACTTGGACCCTCCAGTGAGTACATCTAATTATAGATTTTTGGGAAAACTTAATTCTATATTTGTTAGGTTCACACAAACGTATGAAATGAAATGAGATGAAATAAAGCATTTACATCCCGCTTATATCAACAACCAATATTATTAAGAATAAAAATTGTCGACTTCAAAGCGGCTGGCATGGTGACAAAGTGATAATTTAAACTCCAGAATGCATGTATATTCTCAGTAAATGTAAAGTGTAAGAGTTCATATAAAATGGCCAACAAAATTATGCATTATCTATTTTATTAAATAAGAAATTAACTATTATATATCTCATTCATCTATCTCACAAATTCTACCTGTCCTGATAAAATAACGTATATATTACTATTAGGATTTTCCTTGACCTTCCTCTTCAAATCTAGAACCAACTGTTTATTTACTGCACACTCCTCCGGCGACCGGTCCGGTGAAATAAAGACAGTTTTAAAACGGGGGGGGGGGGGGGGGGGGACTAAATGTAATTTTGGAATTTTTCAAAAGACCCACCCACCCCCCTTCGCGGTAACTGTTGAGAGATTACGGTACTAACTGTGTCTTAGTATAGAAAATAAGATTTGGGTTGGACACCCTGGAAAATCAGCAGCATACTAACTGTGTTTTGGAAGAAAATAATGATTTATTGTTGCGATCCTCTTCAGCTACCACATTCTTAACTACTTTCTTCAAGTTTTCTGCCGTGAAAGTAGAGGCAGAGCTATGGGAATGTTTTGACACAGCAGCACTGTAGGACTTAATCTCAGACTCAGCATAAAATCTGGGCAAGGGGCCAAAAGGGCCAACTTTTTTTTTTGGGAAAAAATTGGTCCATTGTATTTACATATTGATTCTGTGACTCGGACCGAAAATTTTGTAAGTCAAATATTTTTTCGGTTTTCGAAGTCCACACCTACCCTTCGATATGCTATTTTGGACTCGAGGGTCCCCCTTGTAATGCGATCTCGGAAGGCAGGCCTCCCCTTCGCAGTACGAGCTCGGAAGCGGGAGCTCTGTTTTCAGAGGTACGTATCGAGAATGATTTGGGTCAATATTTTTTCAAAGTTTTTCTGGAAATTACTTCAGTTCATGTTTCACGCTACCCTGATCATTATGAGCCGAAAATATTTTGTCAGTTTTCTGAAGTCCGTATCTACATTCGGAAAATCGTGTATCGATTTTCCGAATTAGCCATTAAGGCATTTGACCCAGTCAAAAAGGTTTCGGTTGTACAGGGTGGCCCAAAAGTGACTACCCACACGCAACCTCTTAATAACTAACGTAATTCGTCTTCAAATTGCACCAAAATTTCAGGGATTATAGATATGGGTCAGACTTAGATTTCCTGAAAGTTTCGTAAGCCACACCCAATTACAGTGGGCGTGCCGTGACACTCTCTTTTTCACTATTTTCTTCATAAAATGAAAACGCTTTGAGCTAAGAACTCCAAATTTTTTGCACACATTTGGCTTGATAATTTAAAACCTTTCCAAACGTTTCAAGTTCATTGTTCAAAATTTGGCTGAGTTATGACCATTTCAAAATTCATCGGATACGTGATCCGAGCACTCAGTCAGTGATCTCTGCACTCAATCAGTGATCTCGTCACCCAATCTGATCAAGAGTAAGGCGTTAGCGTGTATTAATGAGGTTCATTAGGCTTTACCAAACATACTGAGGAAATGACGACCTGATCATGATTGATTGGATACCGATAATGACTTTGCTAGACAGGAAAACACCAAATTCTTCGTAAAAGTGAGGTCCTAGGAATCCACGAGAACTGATGGCGCACCAGATCGTGACCTTTTCAGGAAAATCAAGAATCACGGTCTAAAAGTTGGCGTTTCTTTGTGATCCGATAGGCCCGGATAGAAAGATCTCGTTTTAGGATTCGTTGAAGGGATGTTCTGCTGAGGTCTAAGGCAGGAGCTCGTTTTCGGGTGCCAATTTTAGGTGAATCCATCACGTCACAAACAACCATGGTGATGTTTTCTTCGGTCCTCGCAGTTCGTCTTTTGCAGAAAAAGTTAACTTGATCTTGTGATGCATATCAAAGCAGCTTTTCCGGCAAGGGGATGGTCGGTTGAATTTCATTTGAAATTGTCGTTTAAGCTGAGGGCAGAACTCCCCATTCCCTTTGTTCAGGTAGACAAACAATCGTTGTTCCGCAGTATAGGGAGGATAATGAACCATTTTCGATGATTCAATGGATAGTTCATTCCTTTTTATCGATTGTAAGGAACGAACCTGTGACTAGCAGGGCTAACAAGCCCTGCAACCAATCAAGCGGTGCATGTGAGCCAAACAGGCCATTAACCAAGTGCAGAGATCACTGACTGAGTGCTCGGATTACGTATCCGATGAATTTTGAAATGGTCATAACCAAATTTTGAACAATGAACTAATGAACTTGAAACTTTGGGAAAGGTTTTAAATTATCAAGCCAAATGTGTGCAAAAAATTTGGAGTTCTTAGCTCAAAGCGTTCTCATTTTATGAAGACAATAGTGAAAAGGAGGGAGTGTCACGCCACGCCCACTGTAATTAGGCGTGGCTTACAAAACTTTCAGGAAATCTAAGTTTGACCCATATCTATAATCTCTGAAATTTTGGTGCAATTTGAAGACGAATTACGTGAGTTATTAAAAGGTTGCGTGTGGGTAGTCACTTTTGGGCCACCCTGTATATATTTTACGGTTTTTGCAGAAAGTCGCGTTAAAGTTGATGCCGTGGTGTTAGTAAAGTGGTACGGATCCACCCATCCATATATATCGTCTCGCTTTATATATAGTAAGATAGGCTCCTTTTTCATACTATACTAAAATTTTCCGAGTGGAGTTGTACCTCATCCATAATTACTTACATGCTACGAATTTTGACCGATTAAATTTGGCCTTTGTTACAATTTTTACGTTTGAGTTAATAAACTATGATGTTTATACATGAATTTTACTTGATAGAGTGCTTATCAAGTTAAATATTTGTACAGGCTCTAATGAGTAATGATGTAGTTTTACGAAGATTTCAAGCCTTACGTTGTGTGTTTCCCTTCGTGTCCAAAAGAATTATAACTCCTTTAATGAATATAGGCTCCTTCCAATTGTCCTAATTATGTGCGAAAAATTCTCATAATGTTTGTCCGCTAATGTCCGTCTTAGCCCGCCAATGTCCGTCAATGTCCACTAATGTCCCAAAAACACGTCCGTTGTCTCATAGAATCCAAAAAGGACAGGACATTATAGGCGGACATTGGCGGACACCCCCCCCCCCCCCGCCTCCCCCCCCCCCATAATGTACTCAGAATTTTATAGCATCAGACACATGGTAGCTTCTAAGTCGTTGTTAGATTGTAGCGATAATACTAATAATTATAGTAATAGTACTATGTTTATAGTATGCACTGAAGGGGTATCCTATGGAAATTTTTTGAACTTTTAACAGGTACCCCTGGCCCTCTTCATTTAACCCTCAATTAAGTTTCCTTTCATTCGGCTGAGTTGACCGAGGAGATCGCATAGATCCAATGGATCCTTAGCTAGCTACTCCCTAGACTTTCACCTAACCATGTGCTTTCGCGCCACTGCGGGCGCGTTTGTTTCACAAGTAAAGAAACATAATCATCGTGTATAATATAATAATGATCTTGTAGCGCGATGCATTACCTGAGGACCCCAGGCTATTATGTTCATTAACATAGCCTGGTGAGACTGAACCCTCTAATACGCGCAGGTCTCTCGGACGGGCGCGTTTTTGCGCGTGGAATGCTGAGCGCGCAAAATATATGTTTTGTAATGATAATCGCATATCGGTAGACCTTTTAAAAGCAGTATGTGACAGAGTGGCAACAAGCGACATGTTGTAAGTTACAAGTGCGGTAGCGTGATGATACTTTATGAAGTTTCTCATTTGTTTTGGTCAATTTGCAATTGCAATCCCGAACTTTGACGGGTCAAAGGTTTCATGATGGTATAACTATTATTACTATTACTTAATTGTTAATGATCACACGACAACTCGCCTAGCATTCCACACCAAAAACGCGACCAATGTCATTCCACCATATTATATATCAATCGTGTTAAAGAACACAAAAGCCGGAGGTCTAAAGGTTAATACAATCAAGTGGAAAAAGGTGGTAGACATATCACAGAATTTATGTCAACTTTCATATTTTAATCATTTTATTACATAATTTAAAGATCATATTCTAATAATTTTATTACATAATTAAAGAGAACGGTTAATAATGGAGTCATTCGTAAACTATTGACAAATAGCTATTCACGAGAGTGCTCAGTTGTCAGTGCTATAGCCAGTACCATTACCAAATACACAAATCACTCAGAATATTTTCAGCTTTAAACTTACCCGGGGACCCCGGGCTTTGTGTTCTCAAACACAGTAGTTATATTAATATTAGATTTTAGTAAATATGCTTGATTCATGACTGATACGTGTATGAAAACCTAAAACGGGGTCCCCAGGTACTCAATCGATTAGATATGTAAAAGATTCCGATACGAGGGATTATCATACCTCATGCTAGCTATGCATTTTCGTATGATACAGAATGACATTAACTGCGGAGCACCGTACTGAGTTTCTACAACAAGGTCTACACTAAACTGAAACAGTAAACATGTGAAGATGATTGATCACTCAGTACTCGACCAACTGCACGTAGCATACTTTAACACGTACTACTTCAAGTAGTCCTTATATATATATATTAGAGACTATTAAAAATCTAAACCCAAATTAGAGTGTAGAACGTATGTTGAAAACCCTTACCCGTACGACTACGACAAATTATACCAACATCCTTATTTGGTCATACTATCTGGTCATTATAAAGAGGTTCATAAAAGGAAAACATATCCAAATAATTTTTTATCAATTAAGATAATTTTACGTTCATAAGGCTCAAAGAGTTTGTTGGCCTATTCTTGCTGCAAGGAGAGCTCTTCGCTCTAGAGGTAGGTCTTTATCAAAC